GCCAGACCTGATGATTCCCTTCCGAGTGGTGCCTACCGTACCCCGCAGCTGCTGTTCGATATGGCTGTACCCTTCACCATCCTGACTAGGAGTCTCAAATTGTAGGCTCAGGGCCTTTGTACACGCCACGTTTTTTGCCCTTTCTTGTGCTGCAATGGCGTGACCGTTTGCACGAGCGGGTTTTCCGGACGCTTTAAAAGTCTTTCTGGCGCGTTAAAGGGGAACTTCCACAGCCATTTCGCAGATCACTGAGAGGTTGCACAATGGGACTAAAGGCTGAACGGGGGACCAAAGTGAAGTTAACCCGGAATAAGTGAACCCACCATGTGCCTGGAAGGGTTTGCCGTCTAGATAAAGGCTTGGTCTAACTCCAAGGGCATTTCCTTCATCTGGAAGCTATGAGAAGAGGAGAACGTAGCTTTCTCCTATACTTCCCATGCGTTTGCTTGAGTCATTTTCTGCCCTTACCCCTCCCTGGTCTCAGAGGCTAGACCCCCAGCCTCCCCATGCGCTGAGTGCTGTGTGACGGCAAGGAGGTACGTGCGGCTCTCTCATTCGCCCGCTGCTCTCCCGTACACACTCGGTGCAAACAGCAGTGTCAACAGGATTAATTTCACACATAAGGGGAAAGCAAATTGCATTCGGGCAGCAAATTGCATTCTGCAGTCTCATTCCACAGGTTCTGCAAGAATCCAGCGTCAGTCACTCAAAGAGGCTTTTATCTTCCTTGTAAAAGCCTGTATGCTAGGGGATGGGGGAGAGGATCTCATTTGTGTGGGGCAAAACTTTCTGCAGTGCTTCAGTCCTGGAAAAAGGCTCAAGATGTGAATTCTGTTCCATTCTGCGTGATTTAGACACCTGGACTATGCTGGGTCCTAGCATCTCACTTCATTCCTGTGCTGAGGGACATGGGTACGTTGCTTTGCACCCCATTGTCATCCCAAATGCTTCGTTCAGGTAAATCCACTGCGAAATAAAAATAAAACAAACCCCGTTTTATCTCTGAAATGCCCAGGATAGCGATGGACGGGGGCTGAGAGAAAACTGTAATGTGTTTATGCAGTAGTATGGCAGGGAGGAGATGATGTAGCGACATCCCCTTCTTGTGAAGTTACTGAGCGTTTAAAGCCGAGGCGGAGCACGCTTCCAGGATCTGGGTTTGGTTGGGAGAATAGTCAAGTTGCATTTATCATTTCTGAAATATTTCTCTGATCACAAGAGCAGAGGATTAGTAGGTTCTTGAATACCCCAAAGCAAAGGAGCTGACAGCTGTTACAAGTGTCTGACACCTGAAGAGGGGCTGTTGTCTGTGGTTTGCAAGCCCAGCTGCAGTCTTCTTTTCAAGGTACAGTTCCCCCTCCCCTCCCCACTAAGGCAACTCTGGTCCCCAGGACAGGAGCAGTGATCTACACAGGAGGTAAACTTTCAAAGCAGTGCTCGTGGATTTAACAGAGACTCTCCCAAGCAGTGCCCCATGGTATCTTGTGTAGGAGCTGGCTGTGCACAGAGCAAGCTTCCTTCCACCTCCTGCGAACCTGCTGGGATTTAGGGGAGGTATTTTTTGGAGGCAGCCTTTGCAGTCTTTACTCACACGACTCCCCGGTGCCCCCATTTCCAGAAGCCGCGTTTGTAGAAACCCCTGAGATTGCCTGGGGAGATGCTACCCCCTGGGCATGGCCGAACCATGAGTGCATTGGGACATTTTGCAGGGGTGTTGGTTGTAGGGCACAGGCAGACAAGGGTCTTTGGGTAAATCCGATATCTTTTATTAGAGCAACTAAAATAGTTGGAAAAATACTTCTTTGCAAGCTTTTGGGTGTTTGTACCTGAAAGCTTGCAAAAAAGGTTTTTTCCGACTGTTTAAGTTGGTCTAATAAAAGGTATTGGATTTACCCAAAGACCCTTGTCTGCCGTGGGACATTTTGCGAACCTATCCCTTGCCGCACATCCATGGGATATGGAAATCCTTAGCACACTGCAGGATTGGGCTGTCTACCTGTTTAGATACTCCGGTGAACTGTCTGCATCTTTTTTCAATTCATGATGCAGATGAGTCCAAGGGGTGGGCACCGAGACTCATCTCAGCTGGGATTTATATGCGACTCAAAAGGGCACGTCCTGTGCTGTCTGCCTGACTGGATTTCAGGAGGAGAACGGCATTATGCAGAGCTTACGGCTTGCTGTCTAATCAAGATGTGAGAGGTGTCGGAGGGGCATCGCTCTGCAATCTCGCAACGGGAAGTTTTCATTTATTTTTGGTAAAGCCAGCCACCGAACACGATTCTTCACCACCCCCCACCTCCCCCTCTCAGCTATTTCCACTAAGACTGGGGCAAAAGGAAGGGGCGCTGGAAAGCGACCCCTACACAGTAGATTTTCAGATCCCAGCAGGTTCAGTTTGCAAAGCTGATTTCATTTCCCACAGATTTCCTTGCCCTTTATGGTATGAAAGGAGAGCTGAAGGGGACATCTTGCATGGAGACCTATGGGATACCTCCTCCAGATGACACCCTGCTGTTTGTCAGCTGGGCTGCCATGACCGGGAAACTGAGCTTGGAGAAACAAAAGAGGTTTCTGGATTTTGTTTGATAGTCATTCAGTTAAAAAAAGTCATAAGGAAGATGGGGGAGAGTAGGAGAAAGTAATTTTGACCCTGCACCCAGTGGCATGGATTGAGCTATGAGAACAGGATGAAATTTTACCTGGCTGAGCGTTACTCCAGCTAAAGGTTTCCCCCCAAAGAAACGTACTATAGATACTTTTAATATGCATCCATCTCCTGCTGTAATAAGGCCTCAGCCAATTAGCCATTTCAAATGAGGCATATTGCTCTGCTGGTGATGCAGGCAGATGAAAGGATGAAGCTTTTGTCTGGGCTAGGGAATGGGTTAATGGCTAGTCCTTCATTAAACGTGAATTGTGTGAAGGACTCAGGGAGGCTGACACTGCTGGATCAGGATGGCCTCAGGTTCGTTAAAACTAATGAAATCAACTACTTTAACCTGCCACGGTGTCTTTAGTTAGCTTCCTCTTGTGCAAACCAGCAAGAGAGTTGTGTAGAGGAGCTTTGTCTTAATAAGGGTCTGTCTTTTCCTTCCCGAAGCAGAAATAGGAAATGTCAGAGGCAGGTCATTCCTTGGAGCTCTTTGGGGGGAAAAAAGAGCATGAACACTTTCCAAACTTTGACAGCTGTATAGAGCTCCTCATATTTTAGGTGCTCATAATGTGAGCAGCTATGGAAGAAATGGGGGAGCAGAGACGGACGTGACTGGGAACATATTTGTGTGCACCAGTTTTTTTGTGCAGGCTCCATCCTGGGCCGTCTGGGCAGACAGCGCCCTTTGCAAAAGGGGACTTCTCTTTTTCCTGCAGAGTCTCCATGTGATGGTGGTCCAGACATGATTGATGTGTCGAAAAGTAGTAGATTGCAGCGGGGAGGGAACGGGGAGAGTCTAAATGGAGGAGACGCGCTTCCCATCTTCCTCCTCGAGTGTCAACAGGCAATTTCACACCTGTTGATGCAATTTCCAGGATGGAAATAACAGCTGCTGATGGCTGATGCTGCTACTGATGATTGCTTAGATGGGCTTTAATTTGAAGCAGAAAAAATGGTGAGATGCTGCTGAAAGGTCTGTCAAAGCAGGGGTGTGAAGCGTTGCATGTCTGAAGATGAAATAGAAACGTTAGGTGTGCAGAAACCTCAGCTGGAAGAATCTGGAAGTCCAGTTGTCATTAGTCTGGCTGATTACTCAGTCCTGAAGGTGGCTTTATCACATGAACTGCAGGGTCTTTCATTGCAGCGTTCCCATAAATGGCCTCTGTGTGGTTCAATAAGCGACCTGCTGAATTTAATATGTGAGCACTATGAACAAAATGATGGCAGGCCATCTTCCAATGAACTATGTTGCCTTGAGTCAGCGGTGTGAATTATCCGCAGCTTCCATTGACTACCCCGGAAATTCCCGGTGCTCAAGCATTGAACCTCCTTACAGAGAACAAATGTTATGCCCCAAAACGGCACGAGTATCTGAAACCCTTGAACGTGTCAACTTCCAAAGAGTCAGTGCAGCTGTGCTCCTTGTACGATGTCGAACCACGGAGAAGTCAGGCTGGAAGGGATCTCCAAAGGTCACTTAGTCTCCTAGGATCTCCCCTATCCAAGCCAAGTAGGGACTCCTTTGAAGTGCAGTTCCTTTTTATCGTCATTGATGCCCTGGCCTCTGGCATGGAAATCCACCTTTCTGGGAGCCCCAATCCAGCCCAGTGACTGCGATGCCCACAAAACGTTTTGGGTAAACCATGCTGGGCTGTGTTATTACTATGAATGATGCTACCATCTCACCTAGTAGACTTAACTGAGGAGCCGTTGTGTCAGATACACAGACGCCTTTATGTGAACAGAGCCCAGCCCTGCCTTGAAGGAAATAGGGTCTGTGCATTGCATATTAGTGGTTTTTTATATTACGGGAGGTGTTGGGATACCGGTCGAGACCCAGGACCCCAGTGCTCTAAGGAGCGTGGGGACAAACGACAAAGCCACCAGGCTCCCCGCTCCCAAGAGATCATGCTCTGAATGTCAGACAGGGCTCGACAGGTGCCCCAGACAGACAGATGAGGTGGGAGAGAGTGGGAGGACGAGGTAATGAATAGAGCTGGGCAGGAGAACGGAAGTCTTTGCTTCCTCCCTGCTTACCCCATGCAGGCAGGAGTGACTTATCGGTGTCATGGCAGGGGGTGGCGCTTGACTGATTGCGATAGAAAGCTCTTTCCGGGCATGGCAACTCAGCACGTGGGTAAAGCCTATAAAAGGAGGGAGAAGAGGTAAGCAGGGATACGATGACACCACTCTCTGCTTGCCCACTGTCTGAGCACTCTTTCGGTTGCTTCAAGGGATATCTTTTGGGTTTTTTTCTTGTGGGCCCAGCATCAGTATAACCCAACCAGCTCTGGGACCCTTCCCCCTGACTGCCCCCATCTCACCACCTTCCCATGCATTGCAGAGTCCCTGCTGGGTGGTCCGTACGCGGGAACCAGCCAGAGCGACCGCGGACACAGGAGGAGCTGACGGATGAAGAGAAGGAGATCATCAACCGAGTGATAGCTCGAGCAGAGAAGATGGAGGAAATGGAGCAGGAGCGCATTGGGTAAGGAACCGACCTCGGGAATCGTGCTGAGAAGCCTCCATCCCAGATGCTGTCGCAAGCCAGTGTCTGGGTTTTGTTGGGTTTCCCTGCTGACCGGGTAAAGCAGAGCTGAGAATTAGGGAGAGGGTTTGGGAAGCTCAGCTCAGCTCAGCTCAGCTCTGGGTGGGAACAGGAGTTGGCTGAGGCAGAGCTGAACCAGGAAAACAGGAGTGTTATTATGCAAAAAGGTTTTTCCAGCTCAGTGGCCATCAGTGCAGGAGGACGGTTGCTTTGCTGCCATAGGCAGCTTTATTAGGTGAGTCTCGAGCGGGCATGGAAAACTTCATCACAAGATGGTTGATTTCCTCCAGGGCGGCCCACGTCCTAGAATCCGATTACACAAACTAGGGCGCCTTAATCACCTAGGCTCCGGCAGACCTTGGACCTCTCATGCCGAAACAAAAAAGCCCAAATCATTTGGGCTGCAAAGTCCATTTTCACCCTTATTTGCTGGCTGGTGCTGCAGCCTGCATGAGGGTCTCCCTTGAGAGGGGAGCCCAGCTGTGCAAGCTGCTTTATTAACACATCACAAGAGACCGGACAGTGCAAATAAGGCAGGCAAAAGGGAGAAGGGGTGAGTGCAGGGAGTCGAGCCCTTTGGAAACGTGAGAAGGGAAGGAAACATTTGCTGTAAGGCTGTTTTTGCTGAGTGGCTGCATGTGCCATGCTTTTTTTTGTGTGTGCTGTAATAGCCTGCTGGCGCACGGCTTGTATTTTTAGCTGCCGGGAGGGACGCCTAGGTGCTGGGCTGGGAATTCTCCTTATTAAATAAGGAAACAAAATAAGGAGCGCCTTGAGTTGTGGGAAGCCGGAGCCTGCGCTTGCCTGCAGAACAGGAAGGGATGTGGGGATTCTTCCAGGAGACGCCGGGTCAGTCTCTGAAGGATCCCCACATCCCATCCTGTGCTGTGCACATAGAGGCACCGCACGGAGATGACAGGCCACGAAGAGAGCAGCGAACACGGGCTGGACGCAGAAGGATCTGGGGTTCGGTTCCTCTGCAGCTGGGTGGCTGCGACTGCTGCAGAAGTCAAGCTTGGGTGGGGACATCCCTGCACGTACAGAGTGTCTCTTCCACACTCAGATCCACACTTATGTGACCTATGGGCCAACCTGAATCTGAAGCCCCCGGGTATTGGAAACCTGGATCTGGGTAGCTGTACACATCCTCCAGCCCTGGTCCATCAGAGATGCAGCGGGGATGGGTCTGAGGTCTGCTTGAGCCGAAGTGCTGGCTTCCTGACGAGCCCAGCAGGCCGGGTTCAATTGCTGGAGCAGTGGCTGATGTGGGGTGACGGTCGTGCTTGTTCCAGAGGACACCCCCCTGCTGCTCCCACAGCGTCATGGTCAGACAGCGTCGCCATCAGTCTGCAATGAGACTTCCCCCGTCAGGTGCCCGTGGGGCTCCTCCAGCCAGTGGCCGAGCCCTTCGGTTCTTCCCTGCCTCCAGTCCATTTAAACAGAGGTCTTGGCCTCCATTTGTGGCAGCAGTATAATGTGACATCCCAGGCTGGGTTGTTAGCCTCCGGCTTGCAACCTCGGACCTCTGGGTTGAGAAGCTCCCTTTGCTCCCTGAGTGAAAAGCCCCGGCCCCGTTAGCTCAGCACCGGCAGCCGACTTGCAATCCTCTCTCTGGTTCAGAGGCTGGCTACCAGCTAACGTCCCACGCCGCCAAGCGGGCTGAGGGAGCCAGGTCCTGCGTGCCCCGAATCGCTCCTCTGCCGATGCTGGAGGGACCGCCTTTACCCCAGCGCTGCCGAATGCTGAGTGTAGCCCCCTGGGTCTGGTCTTGGTCTGCGGGGTTCGGTCTTCTCTACGGTTGGTGTCAGGGAGCTCTGAAGGAGTTGGCAGTCCTACTCCCCACCTCTGCCCCCTTTCCCTGGGCAACGGGGGGCCGGCAGCAATGCCAACAGCAGGCCTCTTGGCCCCTCTTGTGTGGCGATGCAGATGGAGCCCGGCGTGCAGGAGGCTGGGAGGAGTGGACATACCTGCAGGGAGTCTCTCACCCTGCTCCATGTCCAGGACCACTGTCTGTCCTGGGGCACGTCCTCCCCATGGGGAAAGGGCAGGATATCTCCTCCACGGGCAGGTCTTTAGATCCATCCCACCCGTCTTTAGACCTATCCCACTGACTAAAAAGATTTTAGAGCTCGGGTGCATAGCGAAACCAAACCGAACCCGGTCGCGTGGGCTCTGGCACCCTTGCCGGCCCACGGAAGCCACTGGTGGTGACGTCCCCCGTGCTCACGTCTTGGCATTGTGGGGGAAGAAGGGGCTCGTAGTGCTTCATCCGCTGCATTGCAAACGGCCCCCCGAGATTCATTCATCCTCACGTCTGCTCACTAGCCCAGTCTGAGGGGAGGGAGGGAGGGAGATGGAGAGCATTCGCTTGACTAATTTTCCAGCCAGCAGCTACTGCACTGCAGTCTTTCTGCGAGGAGAGAGACTGAAATAAGGCTGCAGGGGATCTTTCAAAACTGGTGCTGTTGGCCAGGAGAAACCCGCTAAATTAGGAAACAGTCTCTTCCTCACCCTGGCATTAACCCCAGTTTCAGCCTCTTGCACTCTGCGCCTCGTTCCTCACCGGCCTTTGGCGCTCCGGGACGGCTCCAGCGCTTTCGGACCGCAGTCTTCTGCCGGGGTGTTATCCTCGGTGCGCGGAGACCTAAACAGGCTCTGACATGGGCTGCCGTGCTCCCCCAGCATGCCTTCATTAATGCCAACGAGCGCTCTGCTGCTACCGCTATTTATTCATTTCTGTTAAAAAAAGGCCATCTTTTCCACGAGCCAGTGGGCAGTATTGCCGTGTGTTGCCTTAACCTGGTGTCAAAAAAGCACAGCCTGTTTTGGTGGAAAACTTAGAAGATGCATAGATTCGTAGCTTTTAAGGCCCCAAAAAAGGGAATGTTGTGCCACCCGGGTTAACTCTCCGTGTAACATGGAGGAGACAGTCTCAACCTGTTACCCTTGTATTGAGCCCAATGACTTGCGTTTGGCTGAGCCGCAGTTTGTCCTGTCTCGTTCTGAAGACTTTAAGGGACAGCGAATCTGCAAATTTGTGCCTAATTTTAATTTTGATTTGTCTGGTTTGGACTTCCAGCTGTAGGGTACCACCCAAAGAGCAGCCCATGAAACCGTGGTAAGTGGTCCACACTCAAACCAGCCCCTTCTCTCCCTTTCGGTGGATAAAGGAGCATGGGGGTCCGGGAGACAATTCGAGTGGTTTGTTGTGCACAAAAGTTTGGGAGCTGCTGGGGTGGAGCCTGTGCGTGCATCGCATTGCGAGGAGGGAGACGGTAGACTCAGCCCGAGCGCTGGGGCCGTATCTAGCACGTGTGTGCGCGTGTACCATTGCCCTTTACTGGGTGGAAAGACAACTGTTCATGTACCTGGGGCAGGTGTATCCAGCAGAGGGTTGTGATTACGGAGCAGGAAGGGGTTCCCAGCGGAGACAAGAAATCGCGGCGGAAGCGGGAATCGAATCATCTCTCCAACTGCCCGATCCTAGCGCTAGAGAGCGAGACCGTCTTGTCTCGTCTCCGAGCCTGTGCAGGGAGCAGGTCACTCTAATTTGTAGCCGAGCAGCGCAAAGAGCAACCTCATTTGCTTTCAGTCTTGGTGTTTGTTGCTTGCCTCGGAGAAGGTGCCCGGGAACAGCAAAATAATAATTATTTGGTATCATCCTGCTCCATCAGCGACAGCTTTCCAGAGGGGATTGCTCGCAGCCTATTTGTCTAGCAGCCTGTCTTGCTGCTTCCAGTGCAGCAGGTCATTTTATTTCAGGCAGCTACTGGGTTTTTCCCCCCTCCTCTGGGGTGGGAGTCAGGCATAGCTAGAATCAGCATGATCACCTGTTTTGGAGGATGTTAAAACTCCCCCCGGCTGTGCTCTAGGCAAGTTGCTTAATAAACAGGTACGTTTCCCTAAAGGGCAGCTGATTCGTAAAATAAAAAAAAGAGGCAAAGCAGTTCTGTCTCCCTAAAATGGAAAAGCAGATCATGGAAACCAAAAAGAAATGAATGATGGAGCAATCGTGTCTACGGACACCATAGCCAGGGCTGTGCGTGGCTCAGCTCCTGTTAAACTCGGGGCTGCTAATCTGAATTGCAGGGAAGTTGTAAAGATGTCAGTCGATCTCCCAACTCTACTGAAGACAGAGAGGCATCCGCGTGGGCGCGGGTGTATGTGTGTATATGGGGAGGGGGAAGAAAGGATGGGAGGAAACCTGAAGTGCTGAACTCGAGAGAGCATGAAAAATGCCAAGTTTCTCATGCGGAAGAAGAAAATACACTCAAAGACCTGGCGGAGCGGGGTAGGGGCAGCCATCTGTCAGACCGGCTTGCTCTGAAGTGTGCAAAGCTGTGGATACGAGAGTCCGTTGTAGGTGGTTAGGTTTTTTTCTCTTGGCCTTGTGTAATTGGAGGATAAAAGGCCGGCTCACCCGAGAAGCCCTGCACTGTTCACTCGTTAGCTCGCTGCAGCGTGGGGGGTTCAAAGCAGTTCAGAAACGAAACCCAGATCTGTTCGCTGGGACTGCTGGGTTTTCCTGTCCCTTCCCTGGAAATTTCTGCAGAACGCCTGGGCGCGTGGGGGGCGGCAACGGGGAGACAGCTACATCAAAGGAAAACTACACAGCAAAAGCGTATGGTCCAGTATCTAGGAGCGACGGTGTGTTTTCCACCTGGCTCAGCCCATGTCAGACCTTCCAGAAATTTATTTCCAAGCAAAGAAATGTCTCCTCCTTTCTCTCTCACCTTACTGCATGACATTTTGCATGTGCAAGAGAGACCCTGATTTCCCCGGGTCCCTGATCTCCAAGCTCCTGGTGACCCCACAGCCCCACAAAAGATGAATTTCTCTCTTTAATACTTACCCCTCCATCCCCCTGCCCACCTTGTTTGCAAGCTGGATTTGCAGGTATCGAGCTAGAAGATCTCCGCCACCACGATGGTGTTGGTGGA